AACACACCACCATACACAACACCACCAGACTCCACACCACCATACTCCACACCACCATACTCCACACCACCATACTCCACACCACCATACGCCACACCACCATACACCACACCACCATACTCCACACCACCATACTCCACACCACCAGACACCACACCACCAGACACCACACCACCAGACACCACACCACCAGACACAACACCAGCCCAGGAACGGGCGTCTAAAACCTTAAAAAGACCTTTTTAACCCAACTAGAAACTAAAACTTTCCGCCATTTAACCATCTGTTTCCCCCCACTATGCCAAACCATTTGGTAAAAATGTAGTTTTCAAGGTCTTTTTTTTCTCTTAACTGTCACCGATCAGCGCCACCAGCCTCGTTATTGACAGAGATGTCGACGAGTTGAGGACTCCCTATTGGGACTCCTTACTCAAGAACGGTCTATTGATGCAGAGCTTCTGTATATGTATAGAAACGATCTATGTATATACATAGATCGTGTATGTGAAAGTATATAATTCATGAGAATTCTCTCCGTTTTTTTTTTATATAACTGCGGATTAACTTAAGTATTTATATATATACATAAAATTATGCGTATATCCCTATAATTATGCATATATGCATATAATTATGCACATGTGCCTATAATTATGTATATGTACCCATAATCATGCCTATAATACATGCATATATATGAATGAATTTAATAACTTTCTAATCCAGACTTGACGCGCTTAAAAAAAAAAGCTTCCATCTCCTCACTTCAAAGGAATTTGTCCTTGGAATAACAATTTTTGTTCTTTTTAGTCAAACTGGAGAAAATAGAAGGCTGCAAGTCGCGAGGAGGCAAGACATGCTTCTATTTTGATTAAGATCAGCAAACTTCCACCAATCATCAGCCTCGTTTCATGATCACATTTGCAAGTTAAGCCAATAGACCAATCAGTAGTTAGCGTGTACGTACAGAACTCGCGCATGACTGGCTGTCGCTTTGACCAGTTAGGTCCGCCGTTTTGCGTCGCTTGGACCAATCAGCAATAACCTGCTTCTTTGGGTGCTCGAGAAATGTGTAGTTATGTGTCGGTTATGTTCATATTCACTTACAGGCACATATGATTCGCATATATATAAAACAAGCACACACACACGCGAAAACACAATCACACACACACAGACACAAAAAATGTGTAAAGGGAGTTGATGATCCAATTAAACTGAGTGGTTGTAGAGCAGCTGAACCTCTGCCACCAACTCCGAGGCTTTGTTATTGGCATCAGGTAGTGTGTGTGTGTGTCTCTCTGTCTCTCTCTCTCTCTCTCTCTCTCTGTGTCTCTCTCTCTGTCTCTCTCTGTCTCTCTCTCTCTCTGTCTCTCTCTCTCTCTCTCTCTCTCTCTCTCTCTCTCTCTCTCTCTCTCTCTCTCTCTCTCTCTCTCTCTCTCTCTCTCTCTCTCTCTGTCTCTCCCCTGTGTTTTTGACGGAATATTATAGGGCATCCCTAGTGAGATGAGGGTAAAATTCAAGATCAAAATGATGTTCTCGGATGCTGCTGGAAGCTGATGCATCATCTTAGATGTTGTTGTATGCTGTTGGGTTGCTATTAGTGCTGCTGGGTGGGGCGAGGTGTTACTGGATGTCACTGCAAAGTGCCCCCATGATGCTCGATGCTGTTAGTTGCTAGTAGGTGGTTTTAGGCTCATAGTGGAAGCTGATATAGGTGGTGCTGTTTGATGCCACTGAACCCTGATCACTGGTGTCGTATGTTGTTTAACGCTGCTGTGCGCTGTTGTACGTTACTGAATGATGTGTTATGTTGTTGCATGTTTCTAAAAGAAATGTTGAACTCTGCTGAATATTGTTTGGCGCTGGTGGGTGAATTATTGAAGTCATATATTCCATTTAAGAACCCTTATCTTGTGAAATGTGGATTGTCTCATCGATAGAGTTATATTACGGACGACTCTCAGGCCAGTCTGCGAGATGGGGACTTTTAGTATCACTGCTACCTTATTCACTCTTGTGTTGATGATGATATCCTCATAATGCATCTAGAGTCTGCCAGTGCAAACTACTGATCACATGCCTCTGTATGACTAACCATCCTGTGTGATGGGGATGTTTTTAGCATCACGTAGCAAGCTTTTTAACACACTGTACCCCTTCATGTAGTCTAGGGTAGCTGCACAAATGCAGATGTACCTAATGTTTTAATAATAAAAAAAGCGGCCTGATAGTGCCAACATACCAACTCACTCCTTTTATGATAAATGGCTGAACAAAAATGCTGACAATCTCATAAAACTCCACATTCCTTTTAAGTGCAATCATCCTGTCTCTGATATTCCTCTTCATCTGTACCCAACCATTCAAGTATCATACACACCCGTCACCAAGAAAGGTAATGAGAATCTTGCTCTTCTCAAAGCTGTCGCACTTGAAACAATTGCCTCCTCCATCGAAAATTTAAGATCTCACGAGCACTGTGTCTACACCGACGGCTCAGTAAAATCCTCTACTGGACGGACTGCAGCAGCATGTAGGTTTTATAGAAATAATATTTGTACAAAGACTGTCAGCGTCAGGTTAAACAACTGACTGACCTCCACACAAACAGAACTAGCAGCATTACAACTAGTTACCAGTATATTAAAAAACATTGGAGGAGGAATAATATTTTGTGATTCAAAGTCTGCTCTTCAAGCAATCGAAAACTTCTCTTGGAAGATCGACAGCAAGAACTACATACTCCCAATTATAAATGACCTAATCGCTGCACGGTGTAAAGGGTTTTGAATCTCCTTTGTATGGATACCATCACACATAAATATAACCCATCATAATGAGACAGACATTGCAGCCAAAATTAGCATGTAACAAAGATGAAGTTGAATTAGACCTAGGTATCCACATCTCTGTTGTCAAAACTATATTGTTCCAAAAACTCAGATTTGATAGGAGAGAAATTACTGACTCCTAACGACCTGAAAGCACCAGTATAAAAAGCTATGATTTGTTCAGATCCGAAACCTATATTTATGGGCAGCACAAAACGTCGACCAGACTGTGCGACAAAGTCGCTGCCAAGATCAGGTTGGGTTACCGTTACCTGTGGCAGGTGGCTATAGGTGACGGATCTCTCAATCCTGAGCACTCCAAGTGCAAACTCTGTGAGCAGCAACTGCGGCACGATCTCCCGCAATACATCACTGAATGCCCAGTTATTAGACCTTTCAGGCCAGTTGGCATGAGGTAC